AACTTAAATAACTTTTTTACTTATTTTTTTTATTTATTTCTGTTTTAATGATCTATTATAAGTATATCTAAATAAGTATCATTTTAAACTTTTTGTTGATTTGGTGCTATTATGCCTGGACTTATCTCTATTATTTGTTGTGTTTTAACTGCTTATTGTCATTATTTTTCTAATTATTTTGATCATTTTTGCAGGGGAGTTTAATAATTTTGATGTATTTGCATATCAGTGTCATTGAGTAATATATTTTAAAATAATTATTTTAGTGTTGAAAGTAATCTATGCTATGCAATATATTTTCTCTATAGGTTTTTAGAGGTTTTATCATAGTTCGATTTAAAAAAAATGAAATAAGTTTTATAATATCAAATCTTTAAACATTTTTAACATAAATCTGATTTTCTCATATTTTTGTACTAAAATCAAAAAAAAAAAATTAATACAAAATGCTGATGTAATCATTTAATAATTTTTATTTTTTTTTTTTCAAATTAACCAATATTTACATCTGCTTTGTACATTGCAAGTGCCTCTCGTTGCATCATCAAATCTCAACTTTCGCTCAATTGATTTCAAATTTTTAAAGTAAAACACTAAAAACTTAAAGACCTCACAGACAAGATTAATTTGCATTAATTGCAGTTGTGCAGTTGTGCAGTTGTTTAGTTGGAAGCGTCCAAATGTACCTTCATGGTAAGGTACAAAACCTGAACTTCCACTGCATTGCAGTGCAGCAGTGTAGATACGTTCATGACAATAACATTGCTCCGTCGCTTTGCCCGTGATATTCAAATTTGAGCTCTTCACGTCGAGTGTTTGACAGATTTCATTTGTTTTCGTGCCATCAAAGTATTACTGAACACAGCATTTTTCTCAATCAATGCACCGCGGGATTTCGTAATGCTGCAAGTGCATTGGGTAAATACTTCTTGGTGAGCACTTGGGAATGGGTTTGTGGTCGTGCGGGTCATTGCATTGAGTATGTATAATTTCTCTTACGTTTCACTTTGCAGCATTATTTGCGCTTTTGCTGAATTTGTTTGCTAATGTGTCACAAGTGCTGCGTCAAATACCGCTTCCAGTCGTCAAAACTTAAGCATTTACCTCACAGCATTTCACATATCGATTTGGAGTCATTTCGAATTTGCTTTGTATTAGAAATGCGTCTTCAAACAAATTGATCACGTTTTTGAGGGCCTTAAGTGTTATTTGGTGTTTGTTGTGCCTTTCTTAGCATTAAACTTTTTTCCTTTCTAGTTTTTATTTTTTTTTACTTCATTTTATAATTATTTTTTACTGTTCATCTTAAATCAATTATATTTTTTTTTTAGTTGAAAATGAAAGTTAATTAATTTCAAATTTAAGACATTAACGATACTCCGTAGGTGTGGTTATCTCACTTTTTGTCGCCTGTTAAAGCAAACAAACTTTTTGCCATTGTAATAATTACAAATAATTGTAAAATATTTACAATTTTATTGTTTAACAAATAAGTTAAATATGCTTTAATATTTCTCTGTAATCCAAAACAATTAAAAATAAGAGAAAATGTTGAAAACATTATAAATTTAAATGTGTTTTAAAAATACTACGATTCAGTTTGTTTTAAATGAAATTACGATTTTAAGAACAGCTTTTATAAAGAATCTTTCTTTTCTTTAAATCCTCTCTACATACTTCCATGGGCTAGAAATGTAAAGGATAGGTTTGTTACCTTTTCATACATATAAAAGTTTACACTAAAAATTTTCTAAAGAATTTGAGTTAAGCACTGAAATGCTTAATCTGCTAGACGAATCAACCGGGACATACTGATGTACACGGAAACGAATACGCAGACACTGTAGCCAGGAAAGCAACAGCCACACCGATGATAGAACCGGAACCTTTCTGTGGATTAGGACATAGTACCCTCCATTCTCTCATAAAAATAAATAAGAACCAGAATAAAAATGATTACTGGGATAATATACTAGGATTAACATAATCCAAATCACTTAATGGTACCCATAACAAAAGGAGATATCAGAATTGTATGTACCTATCAAAAGAAAAAACTTAAAATCATAGGAGTAATCTTAACAGGGCACAGTAAACTAATATACTATTTTACGAAACTGGGTATATATATGGATGCAAACTGCATATGCTATGAAGATGATGAGGAGTCAGCCACACATGTGCTGTTAGAATGCTCATGCATAAACGCAGTAGACTCCCTTACGGAAGGGGCAATAAAACTCTGTAAAGTTGGTTCTATACTACTTTTTATTGACACAAAATAGCTTAGAGACCTACTCTAAACCCAAATTGGGGCACAACAGACATAAAAGAAATAAGTATTTTAAAATCTTCAAAATATAAATATAGCTCGCCAAAATACCATCAATATGTTATTAATATACTTTTAAATCCAATTATAAAATGTCAGTTAGATAAAGTTGACATATATAACTCAAAAAGAGGTTTTTAAAAGATGTGTTTAAAAATTAAAAAAAAAATCAGTAGAACCTATTAACGAGTCAGTAAGTATCTTTTTATTTATTTTAATAGTGAGCTAACCCGTTTCCCGAGTTTCAAATGTATACTCAAAATTAATAGAGAATACAATAAGTCAGTAGCAAATCTATTATATGGGCTATTAGTACTTAGATATGTGTAGTGGAAGAGGTGGCATAGTTTATTCTTATTATATAGGAAGTACAATGGATAGTTAGGATAGCCATAGAAACTAACTATAAATTACAATCTCTCTAGAGCTTATAGATTACATTCTTCAATATATCAAATATTTACTGAATCAAAATAAACGCATTAGAGATAGTTTATAGAAATAAATATTCATGTATTACATGTTCTATCTTAAAAATATATAATGGAATTCTATATATATTTATGCTTCATTATATCGCAATGAAACAGTTGAAGTAGATTAAGACTGAAGAAGATCTTCTCTATAACTATTATGTCTAGAACCCAGTTGAACTTAAGTGAGCTAGATGAAGTGGAATGAGGAATGAATACTTTTCAATTAGCATAGAAATAAGCATGTGCTTTGATTTAACATTTAATGGGTAGAAGATTTAATGGGTAGAACAATGGGTACATTAGAATCAGATGGCCTTATTGGTAAAAGCAAATATCTGGCTAATAATAATGTTGGAAATATCATAGAGTGTTGAAGAATAGGGTACCCAATAGCTTAAGCCTGGTTCTAGAAAAGACTGGTCATACACACAACAGGTGCTCTGGTGTCTTTGCTTGCCATCTCATTAGGAACGATATTATATTTATAAACGTCTGCAGTAAGAAGCAGAATATTACCAGAAATATATATTTGTAAATAATTCAATAAGATTGCGTTCAACTCTCAATTCAAAACTAATAATATAAGAAATAAACAAATAATGCTTTATAGAAACTAGCTATTGTAATTTAATCGAGTATTTATTTAGCCAACAAATCTGTAATAATATATAATTTAGTTTATTCCCACATTGTTTTATGATAGTAGTGCATGATGGGTTTTTGAAAAATTTTTTGGTGTATTACCCTTACATAAAACTCTTTAGCCTTCTAGTATTTCATGTTAATTTTCTTTTTTGTGTTTTTTTTTATTTCTTCCAACGAAAACTGTTGCAAGTATTGTATATTCTGTTATATAATAAATTTAATATGAAAAAATTTGTAGTCATAAAAAAAATTAATGTACTTCATCAAGTCAAAAACTTTCTTTTCTGACCGCGAAGAGCAGCCCAAAATGATTAAAGGTTTAACAAGACCACAGCTACAACAATAACAATGAAAATAAAAAAGCACCTGTTTAACACCTCTCGGCGATCTGGCGCAACAATGCTGTGGGCCTGACAACTTGGCTCAAACTAAAAGTTAATAAGACGGCTTAAGTTCTGCGCTGTATGTGACCGAGAGACTTTTGCCTGAGCCAACGACAGTTGTAGAGATCCATTTAAGCGGTAAGAGCAGAGAACGAAGAACGCAGAAGAAGAAGCAGAAGATGCTGTGAATAATGTAAGCAGCGAAAGAATTGTGATTCAAAAGAAAGCAACAAAATTATGGAGCACAATTCCATTTCTTCTACAGCAGCAACCTTGAGTTCAGTAGCTGCGACCGCACGAAGACGTACAGATTTTTAGATTTCTTATTACAAAAACAAAAAATCACATTGATTATACAATTTTTTGTTCGACTTGATTTCTCTGAGTGCACGGCATGTGCTCTTTCGGTAATGTTTTGGTCGTGTCTGCTCTTCTGCTGAACTTTCTTTTGCTATAATTGCTACCTTATGTTGTGAAGCTCATAATTATGACTGAGCGCGCGTAGACGCACTAAAAAAGGTTACAAGTTCCGTTTCTTTGTTTATCAGTCCGTATGTCTGTCGGTTATACGTTGTACGTCATGTACGATGTTGGTAGTTGTTGTATGGCAATGGGATTATATGTGCGTATTTTGAGCGATGCGGAAGAAACCGCTAAGTAAACAACGGTGTGATATGTGTACTTCGTGGAGAGTGTCTCTGTTTCTCGCTGACTGCAGGGCTTATTTGTTTGACTTTTCTGATTGTTTGAAGACAAACGGGACGATGTCGAAAAATTAAATGAGTATTTCTGTTATAGTGGAAGTTTACCGATCGAATGCTCTCTCATTCTCGCACATGACAATGTTTGTTCGTTTGATCGGCTGTTGGCATCGATCCGCTGTTACTCAAACCTACGGTTCGGTCTGAACGTTTTGGTAATTTGTCTGCTGCTGCTTTATATTTTGGCAGGGAGCATTTCTTAATGAATGACGCTCTTTATTGTTAAAGGTATTATTATACCGCTTTCGGAGTTAAGTAGTGTCGCTGCCGCTGTTGTTGTTGCTATTTTTTACTTTGCTGTTGTTGTATATTTTGTTTATTCCATACGCTTTTGCATAATTATATGATTTTGTTTGATTGTTGGAGACTCTTTAAAAACAGCCTGACACTGACGAAAATTATCAAACCGCAAGTTGTTCCATTCGAATGAACACACAGTGAATTCGGTGGTGTTTTTATCCGGAAAAATATTAAATAATATTTTAAATTAAAATAATAATAATCCTAAACGAAACGAAATTCAATAAAAAAAAATAAATATTTTAAAATGAAGTTATTTATTGCAACCGCTTGTGTCCTTTTACTGACAACCGGCATTTTAGCCGATCCAATTAAGGATAATAATGCAGCACAGGGCAGTGGATTTGCCAAGTGTTTGGAAACAGATTCTATTTCATGTCTACAGCTAACAGTATGGATTACAATTAATTAATTATTTTTAAAATTTATTTTATGAAAAAAAAATATTAAAAAAAAATTATGAAAAAGTGAATTGATGAAAGTGAATATGAAGATAAGATTTTTAATAAGAACTCTTGATAAGTAAAAGTGAAAGCAATGGAAAAAGTTTCAAGACATTTTTGTCATATAATACCAACCAATTAGTAAAAAGTGAAATCATTTAAATAATAAAAACAAATAATGAAAAAAAAAATTATATTATGATATATATAATAGCTACATGTGATATCCTTGTTGGTAGTGAACCTTGAAACCTTGAAAAGACAATAATTTTTAACATTATTAAATCGAATTCAGTGGCATTTTATTTCATAAATATTTTATTTTCTTTTAAAATAAGAAAATATTATATATTTAAGAATATTTAAATAATAATAGAATATCCAAAGTAACTGTGATATGCCAAATTGATTATCAATAAAAACTAATTTATTAATTTCATAATCTTATATATCAATCAAACGTACTTTTAAAACGACTTTTGGTTTAAATATATATTTCCTTTGAAGTATAGGCTCTAAAGTATAAAAATTTAACATGATAGGATTCAAAAATTAACAAGTTTTTAACACAATAATAATAAAGTCGTTTTATTAATATATTATTTGAGACCAAACTTTTGAAATATAGGCTTCATAACTTAATTACAACAAATCATAAGATTAAAAAATTTAATACCGATAAAGTCTCTCCATTTTTTTTAATTATAAAATTATATCTCAATTAAAAATCTGTGATCTTACTTTAAAATTATTACTGATATTATAGTAATCAAATAATACAAAACAAGTATTATTTTCGCTTCACTTCTGATAGATTACAATTAGTTCAGACCCTTTACGTTTTTTAGGGTATACGAGGAACTATCAAACATACAATGAATTGCCGTAAATAATTCAGAAATAATTTTATTTTTTCCAACTTTTATTTTCTTGGTTACAGAATAACAGGCAATCATAGTTAATAAACCATGAGATCCTAAAGTCATGTTATATAAATGCAGTAGATAAAATTAATTAGGAAATTGCATATAAGAAAAAGGGAACTTCCAAATCTTGGTTTATTTTCCTTAATCTTAATATTAATCTTAATTTTATTTGAACACACGATTTAATTCACGTTTTTTATATAACATTTAATAAAATTAAAGATTTTTATGAAAAAAATTATAATACTTAAATATTTAAAATAATTTCTTCTGATATGTATTCGATTAAATCTGATGTATCTTATGATGATATATATCATAATTTAGAATAAATAATATTTGTTATTTTTAATAACATATATTTACATAGGATACTTACAGTTCAAAATTTTGTTTTATATAATATATATATATATGAATATAAATATAAATAATATATAAAATATAATAAATAATATTATATATAAATATATTTTTATATATATATTTTTGTAAATCTTATTAATATTTATTTACTATTTATTTACTACAAAATAAATAAATAAATTTATAAATTTTTTTTAGTCAAATTTATATGTAAATTTAAATGCAATATTCTCATATATGTTGCTGTAAAGGTTATTCATATAATTTTATTTATATTAATTTAAAAAAAATTATTACGTTTTTCTATAAGGATATAGTTCATGATATAAGTCCTTAAAGAGTACATGCATATAAATGTAAAAAGTTTTGACACATAAATAATTTATAAAAACAACATCATTATAATTATATAAATTTGCTTTATATATGTTTTCATATATATTATATATGAAAATATACATATATACATTATTCAGAACTTTGAATTAATTTTAATATTTTATTTTATAATTTTAATATTTATATAGCATTAAAGTGAAAAAAGTATTTGTATTCTATGGATATATTTTGAATATATATATACAAGATATAAATGTATTAGATATATATATGTGAATATTTGTCACACATATTCATATACAAAGTTTCTTATATATATATGCAGAACCAATCTGGTCTTTAAAGAAAAACAAAATTTCTCCAAGGCAAGAATAAAGATGATAGCCTTATAAAACATTAGTGTACTCAGATATTTTTGGTTTTAAATATTTATATTAAAATTGTTTTCTCTAATACATTATATATTTTTATATTTTATATCATTATAATTTCGTTTTTAAAACCAACTCTTTCGCTTAATTTTTTTAATTAAAATTTATGTACTTGGCCTTATATATATTCTTTATATGACATAAATTTCTTTGATATATATGTATATATTAACGTTATACATATCTATTCAAATACTTTTCACAGTACTTTTGTATCCTTCTATATTGTTTATTATTTGCTCATAATTTTTATTTAATTAATTTTTTTATTATATGCACTTATATAGCGCTCAGCGAATTTTTGTAAATTATTTAATTATAATTATCAATAAATATAAAAATTTATACTTATTAACTTTATAGTAAAGCATAATTTTTATATTATCTCTTATTCATTGTACAAATTTTTGTTCAAATTATTTGAACTTATTTCACTTTTAAATATTATTAATGTTTTACCATTTCTAAGTAATTAAATTTTAATACTTATAGCATATAATAAAAATTAATCTGTTATTTAAATATATCTCAACACAAGTTATTTATTTAAGTTCTATATTAATTATATTTCTATTTTTTAATATTTTGCAGCTCTTCCGCAAAGCAAAATCAATCTTTGACAATCCACAAATCGAAATCTTTGGCGGTGTTTCCTTAGTGAAAGCAAATGAAGGACGTCAAGGTAAATCACTCGATGACAATGCCATCGCTGTTGAAGCTGCACCAACTGTTGAAGCACGTACCACTGAAATGGGCACATATTTCATGACAAATGCCAAGAACTTCTTCGCTGAACGTTCATTGAACTTCAACTTTGCAAATGCTGCTCGTTCCGTAGCACGTGCCATTCCCGATGACATTAAGGCTGACTTACGTGAATTGGTTGTTGAATCACGTACCAAGAAGAAGAAGCTCCTCAAGAAATTCTTGCCAATCTTATTGGGCGTTGGTGCTAAAGTAGCTGTTTTGGGTGTTGGTGCTATCTTAGGTTTACTCTTCCTTGCCAAGAAAGCCCTCATCGTTTCCGTTATCGCTTTCTTCTTGGCTTTGGCTGCTGGTGCTTCAAGCGGTTTGGGACGTTTAGGCGGTTCAGGCGGTTCTGGTGGTCTACTCGGCGGTTTGGGTGGTCTTTTCGGCGGCAAAAACTCAGGTGCCAGCGCTAGCTCAGGTGGTTGGTCATCCGGTGGTGCCGCTACTGGAGGTTGGTCATCAGGCGGCAGTTCCGGTGGCTGGGACTCACATGGTGCCTACAGTTCACCAGTTGCACAGACAATCGCTTACTCCGGCTACAAACAAGCAAGGCGATAAACGTTAAAGCGATCACTTTTCCAACAAACTTAGGGTAATGTTTAAATTAATTGGGTGCGTATGGGCGCTGCGGTTAGAGACGCGCCCATATGCAAATTTAGGACAAAACAAAAACAAAAAACGGTTACAAAAAAACACAGACAAATTGATTAACAGTTAATTTAACGTTAAAACGAAACTTTTTAAATTATTAATTTTATTATTTATATAAATTATTTATTTATAATTTATTTATTGTTATATGAAAAAATATTTATTTTTTAATTTTTTGTGCCTGACGATATAAAGACGATTGAATCAAAGATGCCAAAGAAAGTTCATGAGTGCGTCTTAGGCGCCCCATGGATTTTCCTTGTAGACACAAACTTAACTACGCGACTTTTGTACTATAATTTCATTATTTTCATCTGATTTAATTTATTTGCAATATTGTTATGTATTTAAAATTACTCGAAACTGCAAACGGCAAACTTAAGTAACACAATTTGAATTAATTTTCGAAAAGAAGTTTTAGATTGTTTAAAGAATATATAATTTTTATATATTAATTAATATATTTAAATTATTTTTAAAAAGAAATTTTTAAAACGAACAAAATGCATGCAACTAGTCGCATATTGTGTAATAAATTAAATCAGCTCATCAACTTTCCTATCACTATCTGTTTATAATTCTAACTGTAACTATATCTGTATCTTTACCTATATCTATACCTGTATCTGTGACTTTATCTGTATTTGATGCTATGACTATTTACTTTAACTTTAGCTATAACTGTATATTTTTTAACATATTCTTAACTATTCTTCTTTTCTATCACTTTTTATACTTTTTCTACATCTTTCTTGCTATCTTAAACTATACTATTTTTCACAATTTCATAAAAGACTTGACAAACAAAAAAAAAACAAAACAAAAACAAGCTAAAATAATAATTTATTAAAAAACAATATCAAAAAAAAAAATTATTTCAATGTTTTCTTTCTTTTATTCTCTACTAACTAACACTTCCACTTCATTTTCATACTAAAATATTTAATCATCCAAAGTGCAAAAACATCAGTCATGCCAAATGTATCTTCATTCGATTTCGTGTTGATTGAAGACATTAATTTCCAATTTCAATTAGCAATTTCTCTCAGTGCTTTTGAAACAAATTTATTGTGCTCATTTCTTTTTCACAGCTTATATACTGCTTTGGCTTATATAGCTTCAATAGATTATAAATTTAATGATATTTTTTACATATAGCTATTGTGAGCTAAAGTATTGTATATGCAGTTTCACCTTCATACTTAGATACTTAGATTTTCCTTTGAATTTCATACTTTCATTTATATCATTTAAATTAGTTCCGCTATTACTATTTCAATTCGCCACACTTCCATGCAGTACTCATCCTTTCCAATTGCAAGAGTCTTTAAAGCTTTCGAATTGCCTTCACTGCCATCTTCAAGCTCATTCGTTTAGTAGTTTATTCTCCAATAACAATTAAATATAAATTTCATTTATATCTAACAGTCATTCATCTCAGAGTAATGAATTATGCTTTAAAAACTTTATATTTCTTTCTTCATAAATCTACAATTCAGCCTTGACATTGTGATGTCGAGTGATTCCTAAACATAAATGTTCACTTAAATCAAAAAAACCAAACGTAGATAACATATTATATTATTATATTACTCATTATGTTATTTATTACTC